GGGAGCGGGAACAGAAGCTGCAGTGGGGTGGGGGGAGTGTCAGATTCTCTTTGGAGGAAGAGCTGATGACATTTGCAGACAGTGTTTGAAATCTGAGTTTGTGATTATTACAAAATTTACCATTTAAAAATGTACAATTTAGTGGTTTTTACTATATTCACAGGGCTGTGCAACCATCACCTCTGTCACTCCTCACTTCCTCCCCAGCCGCTCAGCCACTCCTCTAGTGCCTCTTGTCCCTGTGAATTTGCCCATTCTGGCCATTTCTTATGATTAGAACATCTGTGTTTGAACAGCACTTCTTTCTACTGGTAATTGTTACTGTATCCAGTTAGTTCACTAGTAAGAAAGGATTTATTTATTTATTTATTTAAAAAAATATGTCTTTATTGATTTAAGAGAGAGTAAGGGAGAAGGGAGAGAGAGAGAGAAACATCAGTGATGAGGGAGTCATCATTGATCGGCTGCCTCCTGCAAGCCCCAGACTGGGGATTGAGCCCACAACCTGGGCATGTGCCCTGACCAGGAATCAAACCTCAATCTCCTGGATCCTAGGTCGATGCTCAACCGCTGAGTCACACCAACCGGGCAAGGCTTTATTTTAGTAGCCCTTTTCTGTGATACAGACTGTAGATGGGGGAAATCTTATGCCCTGATTCCCCTAATCAAGCACCACTTTTACTTTAAATTACGTATGAAAGTTAATCCAAAATCACTTTTGGCGTCCCATTCCTTCTGTAGAAATCATTCCCGGAAGACTCCTGGTTTCCTAGGAGCACTCTCATGTTACTGTAGAACTTGGTGAGTTAAGGAGCAGCTGATGTGGAATCAGGAGACCTGGGCCCCTGCCTGCAGGCAATGCAGCCTTCTGACTCGGTTCTGCTGGCTGTGTGGGCTGTGCAAGCACTGCCTCGAGTGTGTATGTGAATGAAAGTGCTTTTGCACATGATAGCCAGGCAAGTGCACGATGAGTGACTCTCATTCCCACGTGGTCCAGGTCTCCCTTGGCTGCTCTCCACCTGGAACCACATTTTTCATGGGTAACCGTAACCTAATCTAACACTCAGAGTTTGGATGAGGGAGCTGGAATCCCCACATTGGGCGTTGGCCCTTTGCTGGTGGTTTCAGCATGGTTGTAGGTGCTGCAGAGGCCTAGCTTTTCTGTGCCTCCTCCAAGGTGTGTGTTTCTGTGCAGATGACTTCGCTGCACAGTTGGAGGGCTGATTGAGTTTTTTATTTTGAAGGTGAAGTTAAAATGACTGCTTCACCAAGAACGGTTGAAGAGTCAGGACTGCTCCGACGCTGTTCATCCAGGCCTCACCCTGTTCATCCAGTTCCTGCCCAGAGCAAGGTGCTGCCGTCTTCCGCCTTAATTTCCATACTTACTTTTCATGTGGAACAAGTCAGTTTGACCTTTCGGTTCATCAATTTAATTAAATTTCACAGGGGAACAAAATAGTTGTAGTTTTCCTGAACTTCCAAGTTTGCTTATTGGACAAAATAAGATAGGAATGAGGCATTTCAAGCAGGGGCTGTAGAAGGCACGAGAACTGAGCTTTTGAAGATGCACGACCAACACAAGGGAGTTATTTCCAGCAGCCAGAGTTCCCTGGAGGTTTGGGAATATTGACCCAGGGGGAAGTTGGAAAGTAGCCTGAGGCCAGGTTGGAATGGGCCTTGATCCCCAGGGTTTGGAAACTCGCACCATGTTCTGTCTTTGGCAGTCAGTTTGCTTCACCTGCTCAAGCTCTAGCACATGACACAGCACACACAGGTCTTAATGACAGGGTGCCGGCCTTGGAAGCCTATGTGTTGTTGTTTATTGCTAACCGTATTCTTTCTGTTTATCACATGTGAGAAGAGAGACAAAGTTCTTTTGAAAACTCATATTTGTATCTTTTGCTTCTAAGAAGATGGAGACATGCCCTGTGGGCCTGGCCCCCTCTCCATCAGGCCTGGGGTAATCAGTGTGGAGCTGTTGACTTCCTCCCATTGGTGCGTGGGTGACTGCTGAGTTGTGTACCTGGAGACCCTGCATTGTCAGTTTAACCACACGTGCAGCTTTTGTAAGTGCTGTCTTGTTAAGTCCAGGGAACATTTTATGCCTCATAAACACTTACAATGTTGCAACCTGAGGGGACACCTCCTTCCCCAGCCTATGGTAGACTCAGCCATTCAGCATGGAAGTCTCTCTTACTGAATACAAGTGAGCTCAGAGTTTCTCCATGCTGCACTCTGGCAGCCATGCCAGCTGGTCAGGGCTGGCCCATCTGAGACACCTGGCTACCACCCCACTTTAGCTGAGTTCCTTCCATTCCAGCTGGGAAAGCTGGGCTCAGAGACTGGAGGGACTTGCCAGGAATCACCTGCTTACTACTGTTTCGGGCTTGAGGTAGAGATGCCACAGGATAAAGGTTCTGCTTAGATTCTGACTTTGCTGAAAACCCAGGCCATGACTATTTCTATTCTGACCGCCGTTTAGTTGTGAGGCCTGCCTAGTTTAGTGTCTGTCAGCCTCTTTCTCATTACCAGCCCCAAGGAGTTGTTTAGACCTATTGTGAGAGACTGCCAAGCTGAGGGGCCACAACCCATGCAGCTGGGAGTCTGGGTGTGTGAATTCAGTTCACTTAAGGCTGTGGGCAGGTTTTCACTTTGGAAATCAAGGAGTAAGGATAGGTGAGTTAGTTTACTTCCTAAAACACTTCATCAGTGTCCTTTCGCTTTCTTGACGGCTGCCTTAAACCAGATAAACTGAGCTGCTGTAAGAGACTTGAATGAGGTCATTTGACGGAGAGAGTACTCTTTTTAAAACCGAGGTATAATTTACTGTGGTAAAACACACCCTTTTCAGTGTACAGTTCTGTGCATTTAGACAAATGCATGAAGCCCACAGTTGAGATTTAGAACAGTTCTGCCACCCCTGGGCTTCCCCATGCCCATACTGCATGCCTCTGCTGTCAGTTCCTGTCCTGGGCCTTGGAAACCGCTGATCGTTTTCATTCCTATAGTAGTTTTTGTTTTGTTTTTTAATCCTCACTGGAGGATATTTTTTCCATTGGAAGGGAGGGAGAGAGAGAGAGAAACATTGATGTGAGAGATAAATTGATTGGTTGCCTCCGGGGATTGAGCCTGCAACCTAGGTACATGCCCTTGACCCAAATCTAATCCGAGAGCCTTCAGTCTGAGGGGCGACACTCCAACCACCGAGCACACCAGCCAGGGCTGCTGATCACTCTCTTTCCTGTAGTTTCGTTTCTTCCAGAACGTCCTATAAATGGACTCATTCAGTGTGTAGCTGTGAACATGGTACATTGAGATTCACCCTTGTGTGTGTTACCAGTTGCCCTCTCACTGCCAAGCAGTACAGTATTCCGTCTTTTTGTTTATCCATCTGCCAGGTAGAGGACATTTGGGTTGTTTCTGTCATAGAGCTTTTGAAGTAGGTCGTTCTGAGGATGGGAGGTGGGGCCTCTGCTCCTCATGCTCACTTAGGGGCCCAGGCTCCTTCCCTCTTGTTGCTCTGAAGCTGTCTTGAAGTCTGTGTAAGCAACAACTGGGAGTTGGACATGTTTGTTCCAAATGGAAGGAACTAAAAGGGGAGATACCCAGGGCAAGCCAGCAAGGGAGCCCCACATATCACCGCCTTTCCTGTTTCATCTGGGGGAGCCAAGTTGGTATCTGTCTCTAGCTGCAGGGAGGTGAGGCCATGGAACTTCTAAGTGGGAGGCATGTGTCCAAGAAGGGAAGACTGGTGTTTGGTGGGTGACTAGCACTTTGCAGTATAACTTATCTGTGTAAGTCCTGTTCAGGAAGAAGACAAGTGGGAAACACACATTCACTAGTCTGTATAATGAGGAGCTCTAACCTGGCAGTCGTTGGGAAGCCGTTCTCTACTTGCCACAAGCCAGGCCTCTCACTCAGACCCTGGTTCTTTCTGCCTGGAACCCTGTCTGTTCTTTTTGGTCCCTGACTTGCCCCTTCAGAGGTTTTTTCTTGCCCGTTTTTCCCCCGGCCACAGCTGCAGTGCCTTATGGAGGGCATGCCTTCATTGGATTTGACAATTGTGACAGCCTGTTCCTTAGGTGCACTTTTTGGAGCATGAGGGTTGCATTAGTCACAAGTGTGTGTAGGCTGGGTCCCCCTTCCCCCATTTAGTACTAGAATTCCCTTAAAACCCAGGAGTCTTCTAGTTTAGTTGGTTCTAGTTAGTACCATGTACTGGTAACTACACTCAAATTCCTATTTGGATACACTTCTTAAGCCTGCCTTTTTTGCTTCCCTCTTTGGCTCATCCCCCCACCTTATCTCCGTGGTGCCCACCATGAAGACGGGAAGCCTGGCAAGCAAGCACCTTTAATCTGATCTTCTTGACCTGGCTCTTTATCTCTTCTTGTTTGGCTAAGAAGTCTCAGTAGGAGGCTTTTGAGAAAGGCTCTGAGCAGGAGGCTTCTTTCTAGCTGTGTGGGGTATGGAACCGATTAGCCATGGTCTGTGATTCATACCTCATGGAGCATGAGGTCTGTGTGGTCTGCTGATCACAGTCAATGAGCAATGCGGTTTTGAGACGTGGAGGCAAGCAGGCATACAGAGCGGGTACTATGCTGTTGTATTTCACTGAATTGCATACCCTTCTATCGGAGTGATCTTGGGCGAGTCGCTGTTTGCACTGCAATTTCTCTGCTAAACTAGGGGAAATAGGGTGCATTTAGTCACGTCACCTGACTTTGCTCTGGAGCAGCATAGTTGAGGAAGCCTGGGCGAGCTCCTCTGTGCCTCTCCCACTTTGCCCCTGCATGGAGTCCGTGGTCGTTCCTAGAAGTCACAGGTGCTTCCGGAGTGCGTCATTGATGGGTAGAAATAAGTGGAGTGCATAGTTAAACACACGCTCACTGCTCTTGTTTTTTTCCTTTCCTTTTAGAAAGAAAGAACTCTCTGCCACCAAGAAAGACCGTGTGAACCATTGTCTGACGATATGTGAGAACATTGTGGCTCAGTCTCTCAGGTAACCACTCTGTCTTCTAGTGAAGTAAAATCTTCCCAGGTTTTCATCCCTAATGGGCTAGAATAGGCTTTTGTCTCCCAGTGTCTTAGCCTTTAAAAGACCCTGTCCCTGTACTCCTGGCTTTTGTGTCAAGGCTCCAGACACTGTAATGAGCAGTGCCTCCTTTTTATAATCAGACACAACATCTGTAACCATTACGACATGCAAACAGCATGTTTATGTTTAATTGGCACTCAGTAACTTTGAATATTTAAAAATCCTCGTGTTTGATGTGTTACATTATTTTAGTCATTGGAATATGTGCCTGTCCAGTGATCGGACTGTTGATTTGCTCTCTGTGGCACTGGGCGGCCCACTGTTGGCCCTGCAGGAGTGCAGGACTCCCAACAGTGCAGGCTGCTCGCCTCACCTTCGGCGTGAGTGGGGTCATGGGCCGCAGACTAGGTAGGTCTGCTTCCCTGGCTCATCTTGCTTCCTGGTAAAGCGGCACCTTCTTTTGTATCTTCCTTGCTGATGCTCCTTTTTTCTCTTTGTTTTTGACGGTCTGTCTTGCTGATCCACTGTCTCTAGTAGCTGTGGAGGGGAAACATTTTGGGCCTGTTTCTAAGGGCTGAGTAGGAGACAGATGTACCTATGATTTCTGAGTTCTGTTACCCAGATGGGCATGCATGCAATATTCATATCCTTGCTTTCCTTGCCCTTGGAATAAATAATTCATGTTCTTCTCCAGCTGAAAGAGCTCTTTATGATCTGTTAGAAAACTCTTGGAGGATAATAATCTGGATTTTGGTACTAACAGAAAGTCGGTGATTCCCTTATTTTTAACGGTACCTTACATTTGTATTTTATACTTTCAAAGGGATCTCACATTTAATATTTCATTTTAGTTCAGTTCATTCCATCATTTGTGAAATATGGTGGATGATTTCTGTTTTTGGGGTTTTTTTTAAATGTTTTTATTGATTTCAGAGAGAGGAAGGGAGGGAGAGGGAGAGATAGAGACATCAATGATGAGAGAGAGTCACTGATCGACTGCCTCCTGCACGCTCCGCACCAGGGATGAAGCCCACAACCCAGGCATGTGCCCGACCGGGATTCAAACCATGATCTCTTGATTCATAGGTCGATGCCCAACCACTTAGCCACACCAGCCGGGCTGATTTCTGTTTCTATCTAATTTATAGAAATCCTGTGGGAAGAAAATGTAACGATGAATGAAAATATGTCCTGAAAGTAGAAATATAAAAGTCTGAGTGAGCATGCTGGTGTTGAGAACAATACCAGGGTAAAAGTAGGGAGAGGAGACTTCTGAGTTTTCTTCCGCTCCTCGTAAGCGGGGTGAATTGTGCTTTATTTTTTTAAATATTTCTTTATTGATTTCAGAGAGAGGAAGGGACAAGGAGAGAGAGAGAGTAACATCAATGAGAGAGTCATTGATTGGCTGCCTCCTGCGCGCCCCCAATGGGAGTGCCTCGTGCTGTACACTCTGTTTCTTGATCATCTCTGTGGAATCGATGGCACGTTGGCTTCGGGTCACATGTTAGTAAAGCATGACAAGAATCTTAGGATTGACTTGTGGTTCAGTTTGCTGATCTGTTCACAGTAACAACTGTTTGTGGCTTTTACATCAGGGTGTCCATTCTTTTTGTGTGGAGTGATGCCAATAGTCATTGTACTTGCTCTGCAGAGGGGCTTGTCAGTTCCAACAGCTCAGTCAGTTCTCAAGAGCCACCCCAGGAGCTCCTCAGTGCCACCCCATCCACACAGGTTAAAGCTCTTTGCCATTTCAGTCACAGCCTTGGTGATTTCTGCAACCTTCCCTCTAAGACATCGTTAGGCGAGAGGAATTTTCCAGGACCATTTTACATTTAAGGGACCACTCATATATGTGGTCTGTTGTTGACCAGAACTGTCGTTATGCTTGGCACATTCCTGTAAAAACATTTTTTACTTGTTAAATTGGCAAACATTAAAAACTACTTAGGATTTTGTCAGCGGTGATACAATCTTCTTAAAAGGCAATTTGGCAAAATATGAAGCTTTAAACTATCATCTGTGCTGAACATTTTTGCTTCTGGCGTTTATCCTTAGGGAAGTGGATAACGTTATTGGTGTAGGGCAGTTTGTTCATCCCATTAGGAAATTAAAGATAACCTCAATGTTTACCAATAAGGGAGTTGAAAAATTAAGATACACTTATAGAAAGGAATGCTGTTAACTTCATAAAAGATGACTTACAGATGTTTGTTTGTGACCAGAAAAGATATTAACAATACTAAACATTAAGTTTAAAAAAATCATGAAAGATTTTTGCTTTTGGGTTAGGTAAGTTAATAAACAGGATTTACCTTCCTGCCTAAAACAATTGGTATGGATCAGATATTTGTAACAGTGGTTTTCAAGGCACTTGGCATCTCATGCAAAGAACAGAAGCAATCCTGGAACAAAGGAAAACTGGTAGGGGGATCCCTGTGATTCCCCAGGTTACTGCTCAGAGGGAGTTTCTGGCCGTGACAGGAGGGGACACCCAGGCAGAGCCGGTGGTTGCTGGGCTGAGGAGACAGATTTGAGGTGTATAAAAGATCATGTTATATAAATAATTTATTCATTTGATTACATGTTGAAATAATATTTTTGATACACTAGGTTAAGTGAAATGTAGTATTAAGATAATTTTTCCTGTTTCTCTTGATTTCTGATGTGTCTGTTGGAAAGTGTAAAATCACACATGTAGCTCATACAGCCTTTCTGTGGACAGCACTGCTTCGAGCAGCATTTAAATGCAGTCCCTGCATCTCAGGGGGCCTTTCCTCCTCAGTCCTCTCTTCACAGCTGTACTGCATGTAGGTGAGGTCTGGGAGGTTGCTGAGTGGCATGCTTTGTGTCTTGCTTGTGTGTGTTTGCTGATCACTGCTGGTGCGGTCCTCTGAGGTTCACCACCTGTGGTAGGAATTGTGACGTAGAGGGGGGACCTCCATTTCAGAGCACTCTGGATTGAGATCATGAGATGCCAGCTGGTTTTGATGTTTGAGGCACAGCAGCACTAGTCAGGGATGTATTGCTACACTTCCCAGTGCTGTGACATTGGTTTCATGTCCGTGGCCCATCAGCTATCTCTGCTTTGGCTGTGTTTAGCCAACTGGTTCATGACAGCCTACACAGGCTCTCCGTTAAACGTGTTAAAATCACTCACAAACATTCCATAGATTCCAGTGCTTGTGATAGTGTGGCAGGGCCAAGACACAGCCTGACCATGGCCATGTAGAGTCTGTGGCGAAGTCTGGTTTACCTTTGGGACATATCGGAAGGGAGTGAAGAGTTATATTGGTGCACTGATTCAGGTATCAGGGATGTTGCAGATTCTGCCGGTGTGGCTCAGTTGGTTGAGGTTCCTGCCTACCGCAAGGTCGCTGGTTTGACTCTTGGTCAGGGCACATACCTGGGTTGTGGGTTTGATCCCCGGTTGGTTGGGATATGGTTTCTCACATTGATGTTTCTCTCTCTCTTTTTCTCTCCCCCACCTCTCTCTAAGCATGTCCTCCGGTGACAATTGGAAAAAAGGGTGTTGATGTTGCAAGTTAGTAACCTGTGGTGAAGAGCAGATGGCTGGCTGGGGTTCAAGCATCTTGAGCAGTGTCTTTTTTAAAAATTAAGTTAAAATACACAAAAAGCAGTGTCTTTTAAAGACTTTTCAATTAAAACTTAAAAAATGAGATTTGTCTTGCAAGTACAACCTCTTTTTTAAAATAAACTTTAACATTTTAGAATAGTTTTAAATTTACACAAGAGTTACAGAGTCAGCACAGAGTTCCCATGCACCCACATCTGGCTACCCCAGTCATAGCATCTAACGTCACTGTGGTATGTGCTTATTAGTGATTCCATGTGACAGACCGTTAACCTTAACTGTCCTGCTCCAGCATTCCATACAGGACGCCAGACACCATGCTGCATTTTGTTGTCATGTTTTCTTAGGCTCTTCTTGGCTGTGACAGTCTCTCTCCTTTTTTCACTTAGAAATTCTCCAGAATTTCAGAAACTCCTGGGCATTGCCATGGAGCTGTTTCTGCTGTGCAGTGACGATGCGGAGTCGGATGTCAGGATGGTGGCTGACGAATGCCTCAACAAAGTCATAAAAGTGAGAGCCTGGCCAGGGTGGCTGGTGCCCAGACTTCAGGGCCTTGCTAGTGTTGGATCACCCAATAGAGTGTACTTGAACCAGCAGAGAAACTTTCAGGGCTTTCTTCACTCGTTGACTGTTATGGGTTTCAGATAAGAGGTTTCGAATGGATTTGAACCATCTGCCATTTAAGTTTTGATACTATGTAGTATTTGATTGTAATACAAGTTAAATCTCTCTTCCATTTTTATTCAAGAGAATCACCTGTATCTAGTGTATCCAATAACTTCCTACATATGTATGCTTTTTTCTTAGTGAATAGGTTCTTTGGGTCATTACTATTAATTTCACTTTGCCCGTGATTGAAATGAAGTTGCCTTTGAGCTTCCTATAGAGCAGAGGTCTAGAGGTCTAGAAGACAGTCTGATGGCCTCTCTTCCCTGAGCATAGCTCCTGTGCTTTGTTGCAGGCTTTGATGGATTCTAACCTTCCGAGGCTGCAGCTAGAGCTCTATAAGGAAATTAAAAAGGTATGTCTTTATTGTTTGTTATTGGAAAAGTGGTACTGTTTCACTGTATGGAGCAGTTTGTGTACAGTGTTATCTGATATTTAATAAGTAAAATGTTAGAAGGAAGTGCTGTTTGGTAAAATAGACATTATTTTACTTACCTTCATATTTGTTAGATGAGCTGGGTATTTACAACGGTAGCTTATGTTTTATATCTTTATAACTAAGCTCACTGGACCTTAAAATTTCTAAAGTGTTAAACTTTCAAATGGCTTTTTCTCTAAAAACAGAAATTAACAATGAAAAAACGCTTTTCTTTATATGAGGTCTTCCTGGTGACTAGTGCCTATGACCTTTAAATGTAACACACGCTCGTTAAATCCATGCAGAATGGTGCTGCCCGGAGCTTGCGCGCTGCCCTGTGGAGGTTTGCAGAGCTAGCTCACCTGGTTCGGCCTCAGAAATGCAGGTACGTTGTGTGCTCTGGATGATGATGATGATGATGATGATGATGATGATGATTATTTTGGTGGGTGCCTAACTCCAGCGTTGTGGGTTCTTTACATCTCAGCTCACATCACTTCTTATCTCTAAGGCTTATTTAGCTTGAACACTTAAAATTTTGTAACACTTCTTTTCCAAGAAAGCTTTATTCTCATTTCTTAACTTTTATTTTTGAAGTGGTGTTTTTTTTTTCTTCTTATTTTTTGAACAACAGAAGGCAGCCTTTATTACAGAAGTATGACTCAAGTCCTGAAGACCAGGGAGAGCGGGAGGGTTTTCAGGGGTTTCATGGGGAAGGTGGAGCCTGGGGAGAGCCAAGGCCCTTAGGCTGGAGGTTCCGGCTGGGGGTGCTCTGGGAGCGGTGGGTAATGCTGCTCTCTCCCAGTCGGACCAGAGGCTTGGTGCAAACTGTACACTTGCAAAGAGCTGTCTTATGAGATTTTGTGAGTTTTTGTTCAGAAAATTTTTTTTTCTTCACTTCCATTTCTTTTTTACTGAATGTATTGGGGTTACACAGGTTAACAAACTTTGAAGGTTTCAGGTGCACAGTTCTACAACACATCATCTGTACACTGTATTATGTGTTCACCACCCCAAGTCGAGCCTCTTTGCTTCACCACTATCCCCCCATGCCCTCCTCCCCTCCTAAAGTGGTGTTTCTTATATTACCTATTATTTCCTAATTTAAAGTATGAATATTCTAATAACTATTATAATTTACTGCAAATAATTTTTAAAACATGCCGTGGAGAGTCCTCTGTGATTGTAGGAGACATGAAGGGTGAGCGTCTCCCAGCATCTGACCTTTGTCTGCAGTTCATCCTATTCTTTTAGCTGAGGTTCGTCCCCTTACCATTGAAGAGTGTTTTCCTGTAAAAACCAGCGTTTCTCTAACAGGAACTAAGCTAGGTGTTTATATCTCACTAAAGCAGACCTAGTGGAATAATGCATACTCCTCTCACACTGCAGGCCTTACCTGGTAAACCTTTTGCCTTGCCTGACTCGAACAAGCAGGAGACCTGAGGAGTCTGTTCAGGAGACCTTGGCTGCAGCCATACCCAAAATTATGGCTTCATTTGGCAATTTTGCAAATGACAATGAAATTAAGGTATGATTGTTACCTCAAGTCACAAACCTGTGGATGAGTCTGGAGGGAAGTTAGGGCTTTTGGACAGGCAGTCATTTGAAGGTAGTTCTTGAGTTCTGTCGTGCTTATAATTTATTTTTATTTGTTTCAATTTTTATTTATTGATTTGAGAGAGAGAGAGAGAAACATCGATTTGTTGCTCCATTCGTTGAGTCTTGGCGCATTGGGACAATGCTCCGGCTACCTGAGCTACCCAGCCAGGGCCTGTGGTGCTCTAATATCAGTTCGAGTATTTGAGGCACACTGAGAGTTTCTTTCTACTTCTGCTCTCTGTTCTACTCTTTGGGTGAAGAGTTGAATAGGGGCTGGTGTATCCACGCAGATTCTAAAGGCTTTGCTCCTGAGCAGATTGGTTTTTGGGGTACTGGGTTGGCTCCTTACCCTGGTCAGGGAGGAACTGGAGGCCACAACCACTGGGGGCATCCTGTGGCCAGGGGTGTGTTCCTTCACCTTCTGGTTCCAGAGATCTAATCCATAACTTCACCTAGAGGTGATGAGCCTCTGAGACCCAGGTATGCTAACTAACCTCACTGTTAAGGAGAAACCTGTTTATAAGTCAGACGCCAGTCCGTTCATTCACTGCTCATTTGCCCAGGGTCATACCTCAGTGCTGGGCCCCTGAGGTCACCCTGACTCCGTGAGCACTGCTTGGTGTACACTGACCAGTGACTGGGACAGTTCGTTGTTCAGAGCCTAGTTTACACTCATGGGAAATGGATGTTCTTGGGTGACATCATCAGCAAATGCATGTAGCTAGGTGGTCACCCCTTTCATTCTTGACTATTTGTTCAGGCCTCAGTGGCCACGGTTAGAATCACAGCACCCTTGTCTCGGTTATTCTGAAGGTCCAGTGACAGTCTCATTCTGATTTCCTAGAACAGTGTGAGTAGTATGCTGTCCCATTTAGTTAGGTTCTATGTGCGCCAGACCCAAGGACATCTCTTAGTGACTTTGCAGGCTGAACACGTACCAACCACCTCTTAGGCCAGATGTGGCTGTAGCTGGCTAGTCCTCTTTCTCTTTGACCTCATAATTTGTCGATTTGTTTTACAGCATTTGTGTTACATAGTGTCATTTCCTGACCCTTTCCCCAAATACGGTGGGCACAGCTTTTCCAGAGCGAAGGCCCCCACTGCTCAGGTCTCTGCTTACACTTTATAAGGCAGTGAATAGGCTATGTGTGTGGACTGCTTTGGAAAACCCCAAATTCAGGTGCTTCCCTTTGGCTTGGGAAAGTCTCAGCTTGTTGATGATTTATGCTCTGCAAGGGTTTGGAGCAAATACAATTTTATGAAATGCGTGGTAAGGTTTATAGGACCTTCCTCTTCTCTCTGTGTGGGTTTTTGCTTCTACAGGTTCTGTTAAAGGCCTTCATTGCGAACCTGAAGTCAAGCTCCCCAACCATTCGGCGGACAGCAGCTGGCTCTGCGGTGAGCATCTGCCAGCACTCCAGGAGGACGCAGTACTTTTACAGCTGGCTACTAAACGTGCTCTTAGGTGAGATGTGGGCGCATGGCGATTTCCCCATTGTGGTGGAGTCTCCAGCCTTTTCTAGAGACAGACCTCTGACATGAGGCCATCCCTTGGCCCGTGGACCGGACCCTTGGGCACTGGCTGACTGGGAATGTGAACTAGGTTGGGGCTGCTGTGAAGCCCACATTGGTTCCATGTGAGGGTCAGGAAAGGCTGCTTCTCTATCCAGAAATGTGGGTGCAGCTGTGCCCAAAGACAGCCAACAGGATAGGGTGCTTGCTGGTGTGCCACCCCACCCGCCTTCCTGGCCCTAGCCCTTCACGCAGCCAGACGTCACAGCGGCTGTGGTGGCTCTGAGTGCAGGGATTCCTGAGCCTGAAGCTGAGCCTCAGCCCTGCATTCTCTGTACAGTGCAGGCCTGCTGATGGTGTCCTGCACGTCCCTACATGCTGCAGGTGGCATGTGGACCTTTGTGAAAGGATGCCTGCCTTTCAGATGCAGCAGACTCAGTGTAAAGGCCTCCCTAAGCCAAGGATTCATGGTCTTCTTTAGGCCCCTCCTGGATCCCGGCCCCATGATGGGGCACACATGTGTATTTTCACAGTGGTGCTGCCATCTCTGTCCCTCACTGCCAGTCTCATAATAGGACTCTGCGGTGGACCTCTTCTTAACAATCGAGTACTGAGTTCCCCAGCGAACCAGAGATGACAGCTTATGTTGCCTTTTTAGGTTTGCTGGTTCCTGTTGAGGACGAACACCCCTCTCTCCTGATTCTTGGAGTGCTGCTCACACTGAGGTACTTGGTGCCCTTGCTGCAGCAGCAAGTCAAGGACACCAGCCTGAAAGGCAGTTTTGGGGTGACACGGAAAGAAATGGAAGTCTCTCCCTCGACAGAGCAGCTGGTGCAGGTAGGAGCCCCTGGTTCACTCTAGTGCAGACAGAAATGACTGACATCCGGGAGTCCGCTCACTGGGAAGGGAAAGGCACAATGGAGGTTAAGAGCATGGGCTCTGGAGCTGGACCACCTGGTTCAGTTCCTAGGTCATGACCCCTAGCCATGTAACCTCTCATAAGGTTACCAAGTGGTACATAATGCCCTGTACACCCTGGCCTGTTCCTAAACCAGGGCCCATGATATGTGTGTATCTGTCTATAAATATTTATTGAACTCCCCCAGTCCTCTATTTGTACACATGGTAAGATATGTACTGTTTTTTAAATTCAGTTTTTAGACAACTTCTAGGCAAAGCACATATGATTTAATAATTACATGTTGTGAACCCTAATAATCTGAAGTAGTGATGTCGCTTACAGCATTCAGGAGGGCAGATGAGGGGGGAGCAGTGTGGGCTACAGAGTCCTCATTTTACATGGTAGTTTGATCGCAGTTGGTAGATGGTTTCAGAAATCAAGGCATAGCTGATTACCTAGTGCAGGGGCCTCATGCTTTCTCTGTGATGGGCCAGCTGCTCACCTGGACGGTCACAGCAGGAAGGCAGCGTGTTCCACTAACACTACATGCAGACACGCAGCGGGCCAGGTTACCTGTGCACTGCAGTTTGCAGACCTCTGACCTAGAATGATGGAGGTTCCCACCAGAAGAACTAAAAACAAGTGATTAGAAGTCACTGCCTCTGAGGCTTTTTATTTTATTCCCTCCTGTACTGTCTATCTTTTTTCAAAAAAGTGTTACTTTTATGATGTTAGAGGTAAGGTGGCTCAACTCAGCAAATAAAAATACAGAGTGCCAGTTAATTTTGAGCTTGAGATAAATTGTGAATAGTTTTGTGGTGTCAGTCTTCCTGAAATCGCATAATCATACTACAGAATTATTGGTTATCTGAAATTCAAATTTAACTGGGTGCTCTAGTTCATCTGGCAACTCTAGTAAAGAATAAATTCATCATGTCTGCATAACATGCTGTATAGTATTAAAACCACTGATAAAATTTGACATAATGCCTTTAAGAGTTTGGCAGCTCTCTCTCATTGCCACTCAAGCCCTTGATTATGAAGTGTGTCACAGTCACTGCACTCGGTGTAGACTGGGCTTTCTTCTCTCCTGGTCAGTCACTGGTGGGGGAGGTGGAGGTCTTCATGAGCGTGCCTCTGCTCTTGAGGATGTGCTTCACTTACTGTTAAGGAATCAATATAACCATTAAAAATGTGGGTATTTAGAAAATCAGGTAGGTGCTAATGATCACACTAGTAGAAGTGACAGAGAAGTTTTTAGGGGGCAGAAACTAAGGCACAAATTGTGCCAACATAAGACTGTCAGAAACAGAAACTGACACCTAGTGTCCATCTGAAGACCATGACAGCAGCACCCGTTTTCTTCCTCCAGGTTTACGAGCTAACCTTGCATTACGCTCAGCACCCAGACCACAATGTGGTGACTGGGGCGCTGGAGCTCCTGCAGCAGCTCCTCAGGACCCCGCCCCCTGAGCTCCTGCGGGCCCTGACCACACCCGGTGGCCTGGTGCAGCTCAGTAACCCGAGCCAGGAGCCTGGTGGCCGAAGTCGCAGCGGGAGTATTGTGGAGCTGATAGGTGAGTTCTCAGCGCAAGGCCCGCAGAATGCTGTCTTCTGCTGTTGAGTTCCGGGCGGAACCAGTGACCTCTTAGATCCTCACCAGACTTACAGTGAGGTATCGCTGCCCTCTAAACGGAAGGATTGGTGTGTGGGAAGGTGAGGTGCACGTGGGGTCGCTTTCTCTGACTCCGCTGCCTCCATGTGGCATCTCATCTGTCTTGAAGTGAAAGTGTTAGTGGGAGTAGTTACAGGACCTGTCATCTCTGTCACTTTGCCAGAGATGGAATCTTCAGGTCTTCCAGAGGTTTAGTTTCTGTCTGCCCCCTGGGTCGCTGTTTGCTGTCCCCACCGACTTTAGTAGAACCCTCCTGTTCCTGCCTTTGGCCCCTCCTCGATTGCCCGTCTTGCTCCCCCACTGTGCTCTGGGGAGTGGGCACACTGACCACTGGTTTTCCTGTAGACGGCGGGCCCTGTCTGACATGGAGATGCCCCTAGGGAGCTGGAGTACATGGGGAGCCCTGAATCGCAGCCTCGGGAGCTGAGTCAGGCGCAGAGGAGGCTCCTAAACCTGCCCTCTCCTCCCCCTGGCTGTGTGTGTTCCATTCAGTGCAGCATGTGTGTGGCACGGCCTTGACTTAGCATCCACAGGCCACAGAGACTTTGGTTAATTTGTCCATTTGCTGCCCTGTTTGCCCAGACCAGGAGCAGAAAGTGTTCACACGCCTGTTCCTTGTCCCCCGTAATGAAGAGCACTTTCCCTCGGAAGGCATGCCTTGCAGATAATAGCTGAAATACTCATTTCTAGTGAAAATTTATATTTGATTACTAGCTGATGAAATAATCTGAGATTTCTGATGTTTTTAATTTTGCTTTTTAAATGCACTTTATATGAGCTCTTTTGACACTTGAGGCCAGAACTATGTGTACATTTGAATGGTATTGTAAATTGCTTGTCGAAATTAAAGTGTAGCACTGCCTTTTATAAATATGTTCATATAGTCTCTGGTTTTCAAGTCGAATCAAGCTTTTTGAAGATTTTTTAATTCCTTCTGAATTTTAGTCGCCTGCTACCTCACTTTCATCTGTCATTTTTTGTGATTTACAGCTGGAGGGGGTTCTTCATGCAGCCCTGTCCTTTCAAGAAAACAAAAAGGTGATTATTTCAGAAATCAGAGTCTTGGATCTCCCTGACTTTTCTGTGTTTCCGTACTGCCTCTGACTGCTTTTCCTCTTCTCACGGGGGGATCATGTGCATACCTGTTGCTGGAATCAAGCGGGCCTAGTGGGGGCCTTTAGAAATTGCTTGTGTGTCAGCATCACTTTGTCATCAATTTGTAACTAGGCCAGGGCTCAGCACACGCTTTCTGTAAAGGGCCAGGTGGTACGTATTTTAGCCCTGTGGTCTCAATGTCTCCTTAGCGACTGTGCCTCTGTCCGGCGGTCCTGAGCTAGTGGACATGGCTGCATCCCAGTCAGACTTGACTCACAGAGCAGGGGGGCCACGTCCCTACGCCCGCTTCAGGGAGTGTAGTGTATTTTATAAAGGCAGTATGTCTACCCAGTCAGTTGTGTTTAATATTAGTCAGGAATCACATTTGGTTAATTATTTGGTTATTGTTTTTCAGCCGTATTTGGCTTTGTACAGGCCAAAGTGTAGTCATATAATTAATTATTTTTATTAGATCAAAGTGTTTCTGATAAAATCTGACAGTTCTGGTAGATATTATCACTGCAACACCAATTACTTTCTTCTGCAGTCTAGATTTCTATAGAAATTAATTGCTGTCGTTTTTTATTTTGAAATCTTAAAAGACTAATTCCTTTTTATGTCATGAGTTGAGTGTTCACTTGAGAGTGTGATACCTGATGTTGGTGGTACTGAATGCGCTCTTAGCAGGAGTAATGTAGCCGTGATTAAATTAAGTAAGCGTTTCCTAGGAGAACTTAAAAGCTATGATTGAGCCCTAGTTGAGTGGGATACTTAATCAACTTTGAGATATTGCTGAACACTGAGATCGTTTGAAAGCCAGGATTCTAGGGAAAGTTAGTTTCTCTTCTCAAACAGGTTTTCAGGCCTGTGGTGAGCTCCTGCTGCCTGCTGCTTTGTCTGTCTCTCAGCCGCTCTCCCCGTGATTATGGAAAGGTGACATGAGTGGTTTTGTTTTTTTCTGACTGGGACATGGGATATGTCCTCAGTCACTTTTTTATTTTTCCAGTGTTCTTTGTTTTGTTTTTTCATTCAGAGCTGTAGTTTCCAACTTTTTTGTTGTAGCCTCAAAATTCTTTTATGAAGTGAAATCTGCTAATGTATAAGAGAGCTAAAAGTAGAGTTGTTTTGGATGTAGGATGGGGGTCCTGGCAGCAGTGGATCCTGGCTCCCCTTGGGGAGGCTCCTGGGGACAGATTTGCAAACCACCGATTCCAGGGACAGACTGCTTTTGTTAATACCTGAGCTCGCAGGTGAAATTTGATTGGCTTTCTCAGGTAAATTGCTTGTTCTGGAATAAAGGACACCATTATTTAGTTGGATAAGCTAAGGTGCTATGTCAGTTTCATCTAAATTTTGGGTTTCCTTTGCTTTTTATTTTATTTTGCCTTTAATGTCACATCAGTGTGAATTTTGGGAAGTTGTCACACCTATGACCTGTTTTTTGAGGAGCAGTGAAATTAGAAGTTTGCAATGATTATTTTGTTATAATTATTCAATGACATTTATATGTAATGTAACCGTAAGATTTTATGAGTACAGATAGATCATGTTGAGGCTTCTGTTTTCTAATTAATATAGTCTGGAAACCATAAACTATAAAATGTATTTTTTGAATTTTGCAGAAGACGAAATGTTATTTCAGCCTCCTGAATTGTACAGTGCTTGAGTTCTGACTCTTAGCCTTAGAGTCTAGCAAATTCAAAGATAATAAAATAAAAGTGACATTTAGGTATAAAAGTTTTATATATAAATTTTGATGTGCCATTGGCGATATGACACGAGTACCCCAGGGCTAATAGAATTGGTTCTAGCCACAACTTGCCATTTTAAAGATTAAGTAGTAATATAAATTATTTAACATTAGCAGTAATCTAAGCCAATAAATATTTATTAGTTATTAAAATACTTTGCAGAATCATTGCTTTAAAGTTTTTTTCATGTAGGTTTATGGATTTTAATAATACTCTACAGCATCTCTGGTTCTTTGTGCTTAGCACTCTAGAGGTATAAAAATACTTACCTATAATGATAAACTCTAAGAGGTGAGTAACATGCTTATGATTGTCCACTTAGAATGTGCATTTATCTGATCTTCATAGTCCTTCCTTTCAGCACCTTAAAGGATCTCTTGCATCATTTCCTAGGGAAAGTGCTCTTTGGAGAAGCAGCAGCCTTGGAGGATGACTCTGAGTCAAGGTCGGAGGGCAGCAGCCCCGCCTTCGCAGGTAGCTTTTGGGGAGTAGCACTGGGGTCCACCCCCCTCCTATCTGCTTTCCCACTCCCGCCCCTCCCCTGCACCTGCTTCTGGGCAGCGGGGAAGCCAGCTTGCTTGTGGTGGAGAATTCAGGCTTTTTTTATAATGCTCACTTTGAAACGTGTGTGTGTGTTTCTAGCATCAGATATGTGCTGCTTTCCTTGGTTTAGGCTGTTTTAAAATTAAGTTTATACTCCTTGAGCATAAGTCTTTTTGAGAAGGGGATGGTGGGTAAAAGTGAACTATATGGGTTGTGAGGGGGAAATGGGATTAAAAATTGTCTGTGGATAATTTAACTTGGAAGAATTCTACATTTGTTTACAGATAGTCATCTAATATTGTTTATTCACCTTATAAAGGATTAGTATTGACTAAGATACTAATAATTGTATTAAGTGAGAGTGGTTTGGCTTGTATAATCCTATTTGAAAGAATGTTTTTAGATAACTGTTACTTGGGAAGGAAAATCTGAATGATCTTAGTGGTGATTATTCATTTATTTCACAAAATAGAAATTGATGTTTTAGTTACAGAAGTAAAGTTAAAACAAGAAAATTATAGCTGTAATAGTGAAGCTCACATTTTCTCTGACCCAGTGGCTTCCAGGGGTGACTGCTGCTAACAGCTAGGTGTAGGCCTTCCTGTAGTGTAGAGCCGTTGTAGTTCTTAATGGGAGTTTAAAAGCTATGAGGAAAATGTGCTGCAAGTTTGTGCTATAGGAGAGGAGGAGCAGCTCAGGGGTCTTAACAGGGTATGGGAAGAAGGAAAGGCCACCTAGAAGTGATGGTCAGTTTACCCTCATCATTTCTGAGTACTGCCTGCCCGGAGCACCGGGCATTTGTGAGCATGTCTCTGTGCCCTGGCCACGTGAACTCCCACGAGCTGCCTGAGAGCTGGAGGTCTTTCCGTGCAGCTCCGTGCAAAGGCTGCAGCAGCTGCGGAAGACCTTGAGGTGGCCAGGCTGCTGGCTGCAGTTCAGGTTTGCAGTGAAACACCCTTAAATGCTGAATACTTGCAGCATTTAACAGGTGTCTGCTGCTCACCCTGGTTTTATGAATACGATGTGGTAATATGGTGAAAGGTAATAAGAAACACAGTGGGAAGCAGTTTGGGTCATATTTGAAGGATGTACTATTGTCTTATTTTTGAAATATATTCATATTTTCACTGAATTTCAGGATTTTTGCAGTTAAAATGGCGACTGAGTTTTAGGGTGTTTTGCAGACATCTAATCCCTGTTGAAATGTTTTCCTGGCCCTTTGAGGAATGAGTGTTTCTTTTTCTTCAGCCTCAGTTAAGGGTGAGATCTGTGGGGAGCTGGCTGCCTCTTCTGGGGTCTCCACTCCGGGCTCTGCCAGCTCCACGGCTGACTCCACGGGCCATGACATCATCACCGAGCAGCCCCGGTCTCAGCATACTCTGCAGCCGGACCCCGTGGACCTGACTAGCTGTGACTTGGTGAGCACTGCCACTGAGGGGGACGAGGAGGACATCTTAAGCCACAGCTCCAGCCAGATCAGTGCTGTCCCGTCCGACCCAGCCATGGACCTGAACGACGGGACCCAGGCCTCCTCACCCATCAGCGACAGCTCTCAGACCACCACTGAGGGGCCCGACTCAGCCGTGACTCCTTCAGACAGTTCTGAAATCGTAAGTGGGCAGTGGGGGGTGCTATGGTGTCCTCCCGTCTGACCCCTGGCGACAGTGCAGAGGCGCCGGCTCAGCTCCTGAATGGAGCCCTGGGCCCTGAGACCATCACTGAGAGAAACGGCCAAGTGCCTTTTGTGTTGAACTTCAAGGGCAGAATTAGATTAGTTGATGATACAGACTTTACTAAAATTAGTACATTTTAAATTCTTTAAGACCTCGTTGGGCAGAGGTGGAAATCATTATTTAAAACATCTTTAAGAAACCTATTATTAACAGATCTGTTATTTTAACACTTTTCTAAAAACATTTACAACATATCCCATCTTACAGAGCATGGGTCTGAGTACCTCTGACCTCTGAGTTAGGGGACAAGAAACTCCTCAAGGACAGTCCACTCAGAGTCTGGTGCAAGTGCACACTAGGTTTTATACCCGTTTCATTTCAAATAATCAGCACAACTGAGTGCTTTGCTCCTAGCAAATGTGTTTTATTAAGAACATGCTTTGGTTTGATTTGGTTTGGTTTGTACTTGAGCGAAGACAGGAACACTAGGCTGCAGGTTCTGGGGCTGAAACACTCGCAAGTCGTCTTTGAGCAGCTACCTCTCGGACATGGTTTCTGGTGGCTGTGTGGGTTTATGGCTGCTCAGTTAGACGAGTGGGCTCGTGGTTGGGGTTTTTAACCTGGAGGAGGGTGAGACAAACAATGGGAACAGTGGGCAGTGATTTTAAGCAAGGAATGGGTGAGTGAGTTCTGCCAGCACTCAGGACGGGAAAGGGGAAGGTACCGGGCTTCAGACCTTGAGGTCTGTGCAGGGACTTTGTTGTTTATCACACCGGCTTTATGGGACATCTCTCCTCCTCCTAGTAGGTGGTTCCTGGACATATCTGATAGAAAGAGGAAGAATGACAGTAATCAGTCAACAAGTAGTAAATAGGTGATTGTGAGTGCCATAGATAAGTAAGGAAATTGGAGGGGCAGGGAATCTCCTTACAGGACAGCTCAGTGTGGGACCAGGGGCTTGGCTTTGGGGAGCCGCCAGGATGGGAAAGGGGCTCTGCCACTTGGCTGTGGGGCCTGGAGCAGGTGCGCCCTCCTGGCCTGGCTTTCCTCACAGTGAGGGCGGGTACTGTGCTTGTGCTGTGAAATGCACCCAAGATTGGGGCACAGACTACGGGAAGTGATTTTCCTCCCGCCCAGGGGGCAGCGGTGCGGTCAGAGTGTGCTGTTGTATTGTGGTGGAGCTTCTGGTTGTAACCTGGTTTGCTTTTGGGGTTTTTTTTTGGTAAACTAACCTGGAGGGTGGAGAGTGAGGAAGTCGTTCTTCTGGTTGTTTCTGATCATGTCGTTTGATTTTTAAAAACCTAATTGGAAGGATTTAGAATGATTTTCTTAAAATGAATTTATTTCAGTAGTAATTTATGGGCATATTGAGGGCTCACCATTAGTGTTTCAGGTCAGTTCCATGGATTTCAAGTAGATGTGAGGAATTCTGCGCTATGGAGCCGTGACCCAGTGTATGGCTCCGCATATGAGAGACCTTGCCCGCCACTTAGCTGATTCAGTCCTGCACTGAGGAGAGAGTCTGTTTTACTGTTGGGTTTTTAAAAGTCTGAAAAATTTTTCCTCATTTTCGACTTAGTGTAAAACTCATTTGTGAAGGCAAAGATTTTGTTTGGATATTTTAAATACGTATCAAAAAGAGAAATTTCCAGATTGGAAATTCTTTGAAGTTTTCAGAGTTAAAGCTTTTTATGGCGTAGCAGTAACGTGACCAGGAAGCTCTTGATAATTCATGTGCGGCTGTGCCCGGTGGGGAATGGCCTCTGGGGCCCATCCTATCTGTGGTTTCTCCTTTGCCCATCCACGTTGAGGGCTTGTCCCTCGGGGCTGGCACCTCCGAACCCTCACATCCCTTCTGAACCGTTCAGGTGTTAGATGGTGCCGACGGCCAGTATTCAGGGATGCAGCTCGGGCCCCCACCGGACGAGGAGGAGCCCGTGGGCCTCCTTCCAGATGAGGACGCCGACGCCTTCGCAGCTGCCTCGGTCGGTACGTTGCCTTCGGCCCTGCGCTGCGGGGTGGCTCGAGTCCAGCCCGACACCTCAGTGTTATCTCAGCTCCAAGAAGGACTCTCGGTGTGCTTGTCCCTGAGCCATCGTGAGGATGGCCTGCTGGGGAGTGGCCCCTCCATGATCTGTGCCCTCCTTCCCTGTTGATTTCGTGTAAATGTGCATGTTTGTGTTTTAACGGGAAATGTGTCACTGAGTCTTGATTTCTGTGTTTGGAAGCCCTCCAGCAAGCACATTTGTTGAAAAGCATGGGCCACAGCAGGCAGCCCTCGGACAGCAGTGTGGACAAGTTTGTTTCGAGAGATGAAGCTGCTGACCCAGGAGAGCAGGAAGACAAGGTGAGGGATGCAGGCCGAGGTGTGCCGCATCTGGGCTCCTGAGTGTTGGAAGTCACTCCGGGCCGTCTGTCTCCTGTGCTGCTGGCTTTCCCGTGCCCTCCCGTCCTATTGACGGTGGCCTCACTGTGCTTCCCCAGCAGCCTCCTGCGTGCCAGCTCTGCTGCCTCCCTGTCTGTACGCTGAGCTCATCCCCTGCAGTCCATACAACCCTATGTCATAAGCGCCTCTCACTGTCTGATTCTTCCCCCTGTGGTCTGTGAGATCATGCTGTGTACTTGGGCTAGGAGGCAGGCATCTCTGTAGCCCCAGCACTGGCCTGAGTGCTGCTTGGGACTATTTGTTGAATGAACTAGTGGATGAATGTGTTGGTTCTCTGATTGTCAGACAAACCAGCATCCGTTTCTCTGTCCTAGCCTTGCCGGATCAAAGGTGACATCGGACAGTCCAATGATGACGACTCTGCCCCCCTTGTCCATTGTGTTCGCCTTTTATCTGCCTCATTTTTGCTCACTGGCGAGAAAAATGGTAAGTTGGAGGGGCAGGTGCAGAGTTGAAGGAGTCATGAGGTTTCAGGCAGCCTGGTGACCAGTGTTGTGCTGGTTAGTGTGGCCGAGGAGCCGAGTCCAGGTGAGCGTGAGTGAAGGTTTTTATTGCCTGACGGGAGACTGGGTGGGGAATGATGGGGCAACTGCTTCAGTGGCTCTAGTTTTGCTTTTTTGGGAGCTGAATGTTTGCTGCTTTGAAGCTGAAGGTGATCCAGGTGGTTCCTTTGCAGCGTTGGTTCCGGACCGGGACGTTCGTGTCAGTGTGAAGGCACTAGCTCTCAGCTGTGTCGGGGCCGCCGTGGCCCTCCACCCTGAGTCTTTCTTCAGCAAGCTTTATAAAGTCCCTCTTGACACCGCGGAATACCCTGGTACGTTAGACATTCACTTCCATTCCTGTGTTCAGCCATTACTTTGGAAACTACTTCAAATCATCCTGGCTGTTTTCGTTTTGGGGCATCAAGTTTCTTGAGTTCACTGTGGCATTTGAACTGTGTTGTGTCCATAAAATGCAGAATCCAGTGTCACAGCCTCGCGGGCTCCCTGGCCACATGATGCTTAGTTGGAATACATACAGCAAAACAGTAGAATTCTGGGAACATAAGATCCACTTGAATTTTACCAAAAGCACAGATTTGTATATAATCAAAATTTATACCACAGTTCCACTGACCCAGGCCAGACATTCACACTCAAGAGACATGTGGGGACTGAGGGCTGAGGCAGCAGCTGATCGGTCCACATGGCACGTGTTCTGGGTCAGGTTTTGCTGCAGAGTGAGTGGTGGGAGGGGGGGCATTCCTGAGACGCTCCTCACCTTCCCTCTCTCTTTGGATGAGGGGACAGACATGTGCTTTTGAATTCATGTGAGGTAACCGTGGACTAGTGTGAGATTTTCTAATCTTTTTTGAAGTAAAAATGGGAATTTTGCTTATTGGCTGACAGCCTGGAATTATAACCTGTTGTCTTGAGTGTTATCAGGGATTTGGGGAATTTAAAATCTTCCAGCCCTACACTTTCACCTCTAGTGGTCCCAGTCAAGCTGTCTGGACTTGACTCCCCCCTGCCCTTTTTCTTTCCTGAGAGCTAAGCTTTGCTTTGAGGTGGGAAGGTGAAGGTGACCTTCACAGTGGCTGGGCTTCCTCCCCCAGAGGAGCAGTGTGTCTCAGACGTCTTGAACTACATCCACCACGGGGACCCGCAGGTCCGCGGAGCCACGGCCATTCTCTGCGGGACACTCGTCTGCTCCATCCTCGGCAGGTCTCGCTTCCAGGTGGGAGACTGGCTGGGCTCCGTTCGAACTCTCACAGGTAATGGGAATTTTTGAAAATTGCCCTTTCTGGGCATCATCGCCAAGTCCAAGTTTCCATGAATGTGTCTGTTCTTGCTCTTTTGGCCAGGAAACACGTTTTCTCTGGTGGACTGTGTTCCTTTGATGCAGAAAACATTGAAGGATGAATCGTCTGTTACTTGCAAGTTGGCGTGTACTGCTGTGCGGGTGAGGGTTGTGGAGTAAACTTTACCTTTATTACAATAAAAATTTAAATAAGTCTAGACATCCTAAAGTTGTAAGCAACAATAAACACCTATGTACCCACCACTTAACTCTAGAAACAAACTGTTGCCGATAAAGTTAAGGTTAAATTGACTTTTTTAAAAGTTTTGATTCTCAGAACATTTGTTTGAAATACACCTTTTCCTACAGAGAGTATTTAGAAATAGGCCATGCAAACATTGTCAAATCTGTTAAAATAAAAACAACTCCATTAGGCCATGGAATGCTAGGAGTTCGAGTGAGGCCTGGAGGTTTGTGTAAGGGGCCATCCTTTGCGTGGTAGCATGTCCAGCCTTTATGTACTGCCTGGTTCATAAGTCACACCACTGGTCATCAGCAGGAAAACCTAACCAATAAAAGTCAAAAACCTACAGCTGTCTTATTTGTAGGATGCCTTCCCTGTTTAAAATGTCAGTGCCTGGCCAGAACTGTCCCTTAGTTCCAATGTTTATCAAATGTCGGTTGAGCAGAAGGCGGTGTGTTGGTAGCATGGTTAAGTTGCTGGTCCCCCTCAGTGTGGAAGTGCCCCCATGTGTATGCTTGGGGCACAGGGAACTGCGGCCACAGAAGCCCTGTCCTGTTCTGTCCCCTCACGAGGTGAAATACACGATAGTATCAGTGAAGATGCACTGCCTGGTCTGGCCCTGGGTCTGGGATTTGTTTTAGAAGTGCGGGGTGGCATTGCCTAGTCTCCCTCTTTCCTGCTGACAAATGTTTGTGAGGTGGGGTTCTGGGAGGAGAGACCATAATCGGGGCAGAAATTAAAGGAAAGGAAAATTAAGTCATGTGACAGGGACACACTTTGAAACTGGAGCTTCCTGAGGTAAAGCATTTATTGTAAATGTCTCTGAGACGTGTGAACAATGTGTGGGAGGGATGTTATTGACCATCTGAACGCCATCATGGTGGCCTTGCTTTCCAGCACTGCGTCATGAGCCTCTGCAGCAGTAGCTACAGTGACCTGGGGCTGCAGCTGATCACCGATGTGCTGAGCCTGCGGAGCAGCTCCTACTGGCTGGTGAGGACGGAGCTGCTGGAGACGCTCGCCGAGATTGACTTCAGGTGCGCGTGCCGGGCTCGCTGTCAGGGCGAGGCTGCTCAGGGCTTTGAACTGAGCGTGGAAAGGCCTGGGCCACTTGATGCAGGTAGTGAGTGTCACCAGGTGACCCCAGATAGTGAGCGCTGTCTGGTCACCTGAGTGGCGGAAACCTGAGGGGTTTTATTTCCAACAGTGCTCTTCTCCGTCTCAGCTCTGCCCTGATCAGATCCTTCAGTGCACAGAGCAGTGCCTGTCTTGGTGGTCTTAGTCCTTTAAGTGTCTGGATGGTGGGAATAAAGGAGCCCAGACTTAAAATCGTAGCTACGTCAGTTCTGCTTCCTTAGGAATGTGCTCATCTGAACTCAGGTCAGAGAGCTGGTTTGTTTGTCCCAGTTAACAATGAACTTTGATGGGCTGCAGTTCTCAGAGGAGTTTGTGCTGTTTTCTTTCAGAAGGGATATTTTCCTTATCACCATGTGTTTTTAAAGCACTGTTTATAGAGGCTGGTTGTGTGCCAGGCGTATGCAGGGCATTTGCTTGCATCTGCAGAACATCTCTGAGAACTAAGGATTGTCTCACCTGCACCCCACAGATGGGACACTGAGCACGGAGGGCGGGGGTGAGCACCTCCTGGGCCACATAGCCAGTGGGCTCCCAGGAAGGTGCAGCCCCCTTCCCGCAGCTGCCTCGCCTTCTGCCCACGTGTTTGAGCTAATTCTGCAGGGCCCTTGGAGTCTCAAAATAATACATGTTTATATTGATTTTGAAGAAAAGCAGTTTTCTCAGTACATCTGTTTGACAGAGTCTGGAATTGTGAGAGGAGGTAGATCTTGCTATAGCACGGTGGTCTTTCCGTCATTTTAAGTAAGTGCTGCCCAGGCTTCTCTGGAGCCTGGACTAACCCGCTCCAGGTGGCCTGCCCTCGTGGTTTATCTGCCAGCGTCCTGCAGGCCATCAGAGGGGTTTGTGGAGTAATGAATTTTCTCATTGTGAAATGTGTTCTTTCATTAGGTTGGTGAGCTTTTTGGAAGCAAAAGCAGAACACCTGCACCGAGGGGCTCACCATTACACAGGGGTAAGCAGCGTTCTTCGTGAGGCCGCGTTCGACCTCCGCAGTTAAGCCGCCCTGGTGTGGAATCTCGCTGAGCGCACGCTGCTCTGGTTTACTTCAGGTCAATCGTGCGAGTCGTGATTGTATGGTGTGAGCTTGAGGCTAGTGATCCTGAGTTCTTCCTCGCTGCATTCCCAAATAGCTTACCAAAAATTAGCTAAATACAGAGAATGTCTCTTTCTCTTCTCTGAAAGCTTTTGAAACTGCAAGAACGGGTGCTCAATAATGTGGTCATCCATTTGCTTGGGGATGAAGACCCCAGGGTGCGACACGTTGCTGCCTCTTCATTGATGAGGTATTTATGAAGTATCTTTTCTCTTCTGTCACTTTTTTGGTTAAAGAACTAAATGTTATGAGAAGTGGAAGAGAGGGAAACATCCAGAGACTGTAGGGCAGTGCTCTTAAATCTGTTGAGGTCACTCCCAGCTACATCTAAACTGTCAAGAAGGAAGCGACTTGCTTCTATACGAGTCTGAAATGTGTGAAACACAACAAAACACTAACGTCCTGTTGTAAAAGCTGCACTCTCATTGTTGAATGTTGGGATGCAGGGAATGGCCCTGAACAGAAAGTAAAAGTCACCTTCACTGCTGCCTCTTGGGGGTAACATAACCACTGCTAATGTTTGCTGCATCCTGTGCACGAGCTTCTCTGTCAGAGTGGGGACAGAGTGTACACACAGTTGGCAATCTAATAATTTCCTTTTAACGTGTTGTTAGCATCTTCCTGTCATCAAATGCTCTTCTAAAAGAGCAATTTTAATTAGTGCTGTTTTTTACTGTTTGGTTGTGATGAACTTATATAAATATTATTTGGTTGGATATTAAAGTTATCTTTTTAATTTTTTTTTTTTTT